CCAAGGTGTAAGAGTCTTGAGATAACTCACCTTTGTTTTGCGGATGATTTGCTGGTTTTCTCTAGTGGTTCAGTCAGGGCAGTTGCAGGGGTGAAGAGGTTGCTGGATAAGTTTTACCATGTTTCTGGGTTGAGGTGCAACTTGGCCAAGTTCCAACTGTTCTGTGCAGGTATCCCTAAGGAAGAGCAGCAGTGGATATCAGGTCTTACTGGTTTCCCTCTGGCAGAGTTACCAGTGAGGTATCTTGGTGTGCCCCTTCTTTCAGGTAGGCTGACAGCTCAGGATTGCAGTAGTCTGGTGAGTAAAATTACTAAACGGATTACAACCTGGCAAGCTAAAACTCTTAGCTATGTAGGGAGATTACAATTAATCTCTTCTGTTATTACCAGTGTGTTTCAATACTGGATGGCAGTTTTCCTACTGCCAATGAGAGTTTTGAAATCCATTGAAGAGGTGTGTAATAAGTTCTTGTGGGGTGTTGGTGTGAATGGGAGAAGGAAAGCACCAGTGTCCTGGTCCAAGGTTGCTATGCCTAAAACAGAAGGGGGATTAGGGATCAGGGACTTCAAAACTTGGAACAAAGCCTGTGTTTTGAGGCACCTGTGGAATTTGCTTGCTGAGGCTGTATCCTTATGGGTTGCCTGGATCCAGAAGTATAGGATAAAAGGGAATGGCTTATGGGGGATCTCTGCCAGCTCAGTAAGCTCATGGGTCTGGAAGAAGGTGCTTAAATGCAGGAGCTTGGCTCATACTCATGTTACTGGGACAGGAAGCAATCTGGCTTGGGATGGCCAGAAATTGTCGAAGTATTCAGTTAAGACTGTTTGGAGTTCTATACGCATTCCTTCTTCCCCTGTTGAATGGTCTTCTGTGCTGTGGGGTAAGCCGTTTGTAATGAAGCACAGTCTGTTGGTCTGGTTGGTGGTTCTGGATCGAATTACTACGAAGGATAACCTGGTTCGTTGGGGTTTGGCAGATGTCAATTGTTGTGTATTGTGCCCTGGTGGTCTTGAAAGCAGGGATCATCTCTTCTCCCTGTGTTCGTTTAGTGCAAAGGTTTTTCAGATTGTGTTGCAGAGGATTTGCAGGTGGTCGTTCTTTCCAGATTGGAGCTCTCAATTAAGCTGGGTGGTGCAGCGTTGGTCGGGTACAAGTTCGACTGCTAAGATTGGGCGGCTATTATGGGTGATGTGCTGTGCTTATATTTGGAGAGAGAGGTGCACTCGAGTCTATGGAGACAAAAGAATTACTGATCCCATTCAACTTTCAACCGCTGTTTTGCAGGAGTTCGAGATATACACTAGTAGTACTATAGAATTACAGAAAATGGCTGCAGCTATACTGGGCTGATGGATTTTTGGGTTTTTTTTCTTTGGTTTGGGTAGTTACCAGTATAGGATTTTTGGTGTGTAAAGAATTTTGATCTTTTGAGAGGGTGATGCGAGTTGCATCTCCCCGGGCTTTAAATGCAATTTTGATTAACCATAAAAAAAAAAAAACGAGAAGCACAAAGAGTTTGAGACCGAAATAAAAAAAAAGATAAGAGCACCTTATTGGTTCATTTACTTGAAATAAAAAAAAATTGAATCCAAAGTGATAGTCCTATGTATGGAACACTTTGCCATCTTTCATTTTGATCTTCAGATTATTCAAAATCTCAATTAATTGATTTTTTCATTGTTGCTACGAGGGAAGTAGACATTGATGATGAATTCATTTTCTTTTAATTACACATTAGGTCAGGTGTCAACTACTTTCAGGAAAGCCCTTTGTGCGGTTGGGTTTAGCCATTGAAAATCACTATAATAGGATACCACAGACAAAAAAGAGATTCAAGTTCTTTAGGTTTGATGAAAATATAGTAAAGAATTAACTGAATTTTAGTGAGGATGAAAGGGTTTGTCATCTTACCCCATCCCTCCCATACACTCAAATATATTAAAATAAAAAGTCTTTATTATTTGATCAAAGCTATTATATGTATGCCTAGGATGGGAGATTGCTTTGTACAACCAAATGGAATTGAAAATAAAAGCTGAACAATTCGAACAAGTAATTTCCTTAAAAGCAAACTATTAAGAGGTTTAAACGATTCAATTTTATTTCAAGAAAATGAAACCCGAATGAATTTAATAATGAGGAAAATTCATCTGCTAATATATGTTGCTCACTAATCCCTATGCACATCTTATTCTTTTTCCCATTTACAACGTGGTCTTATTGGTGGTTGTTGGTCATGAAACTTAGTGCTTTATATTGCTATGGATTTGGTCAATTTGTTCCACTGGTGAATTGTTAAGTTTTGCTACATATATAGGTGATTGCTACAATTCTATCATTTTGCTTTCATCTTTACTTGATCGGATTTGTGTATCCAACGAGTTAAGTGATTGATAGAACTTGGATTCAAAAAATTATATTATGAATGTTCTTTATTTTTTGCTTAATAAATTGGGCTTGCAAGAGACAACGATTAGTGGTGTCTTAAGTTGTATGGACAATGAGAATTTTTTTGTTGTTAGTGAATTAGAGGCTAGGTGTTGTACATATTAGGCTTATGAATAATAATCATATGTATGTGTTCACTTTTAGTATTGAATTCGCTTATTATATTGATATGCAATCGCTCCATTTAGTAGTTAATTCATTGTATGTTACATGATCCAAGTCAAGGCTGTACTCGATCGATAACCTTCTAACTCTCTTCCTCACTCACAACAAGTTGAATGTTATTATTCAAGGAATTTTTTTAATTTTACCCGTTTTCTCCAAGAGTTTTTATTATGAGTTCTGATGGTTAGCGTCGCTTTCCTATTTATGCATTGTTCACTCAATACACAAACTTAATAAATATGTTCATTCCCCATTTTACTGGTGATTAGGTAACTAAGTATTGTTGGAAATCAACACCAACTACAAAAATGGTTAATAATATAATGGATGTCGAAAGAGATATGAGGTATCAATAGCTACTTCACTCCCCGTTTAGCGAGAAAGGCCAGTTAGATAACAAGCAAATAAGAGTTTTTTTGTTCCCAGTTTGTTTGGACCTACCAAGGTTCTAATAAAGCATGATGATGTTTCTTACACTTATGTCATATAAATGTACACAAGCTTTTTATCAATTTTTAATTTGTTTATGTTGGTTGACATCTATTGTGTACTTCATTGTTTTTCTTTCCTTTCGTTAGTTTTAAGGAAAGGAGACCAATAAAATGAACTATGATTAGGGGTCTACATGAATCGGGCTGAGAGTTTTGAATCCTCTCAAGTCTCAACCATGCAACTCATATATGCCTCAGGTCCAGGGGCGGAGCTAAGTGGAGCCTCGGAGGGGCCCCGGCCCCCCCGAGAATTTTGAAACTACGTACAAAATCTCTTCGGATTGTGAAAAATTACGTATAAAATAGATGTTAGAATATTAATTGTGTGCGCAATAATCTGACAAGAAACTAAGGTTTGGACGAATGGTAGAAGTGTTGATCTTTTAGATTGAGTACATGGGTTCGAATCTTGCTTATAGTGAATTAGTGCCCATTTTTGCCATATCTTGCCTATAGCGAATTAGTGCCCATTTTTGCCATTTTCAAGTTGTGAGCATTCTCACCTAAACTACAGCAAATTAAGTGTTATTTTGCTATTTCCATATTGAAATAAGCCAATAAATTGTTTGAAAATGATAAAAATGAGCTACATATTGAAATACATGATTAATTTTTTTCGTAATTTAATAATTTGTTTTGACCATATCACATAGTAAATAATTATCTCAATTCTTGTTTTGTTATGATAATAAAAATTCTATAAACTTTTTTTGTCATGGTAAACTAAACAACTTCGGCCCCCCCCTGAGATTCAAATCCTAGCTCCGCCCCTGCTCAGGTCTGTGGGAGTTCAAATGGTTACCATGGTAATTACCAAACCGAATAAGCCTAAATTCTATTAACAATGGAATACAATATCACAACCAAACCGTCCAAACTAATATAACAACCAAATTAACCAAACTAAAGTTTAATCGGTTTGGTTAATTGGTTAGCCAAAATAACATCACATTATCATTAAGTGAGAAAAATTTCCGGTCAATACATCAATTCGCAATTTATATAATGAATAACACATAACAATCCACATAATTATAGTTAACCCTTAACGTAAATACATGTAACAAATACAATTATTTTAGAATTGACTCTTGAATGGTTGTGCAAAGTATTAAGTATGTGTAATTAATATATATTAGACATATGGCTAATTACTTAACTGGTTAATTTGATTTGATTGGTTAGGAGTGTCTGAAACCAAACCAAACCACCGAAACCGAACAAGCTAAATTTTTCAACCAAACCAAACCAATTATCCAAATTAACCAACCCAAATTAGCCAAATACTAGCGGTTAAAATGGTTACCACGGTAACCACACCGTTTGAACATTCCTACTTAGGTCAAGTGATGCACTACCCAAATCAAATTATAAGACACATAAATCCATGTGTTCGGGGTGATGCGCAGGTCGAATTGGATTGATACTAAACATGTCTATACATTAACCAAATAGGGCTGAAGCCCGGTTCAGTTTTTGTTAATCAAACCGAATTCGTTGGTTATCCAAAATAAAATTATTGTCATTTTAGCAATTGTAATTGTTGTTGTTGCGGTTACTTGAGAATCGAATATTATGATTTTTGTTATGTTGCAGTTAACCGCGTTCAACCAATTAACCTATTTGTCAATATTTTTGGTTTAGGTTACCTAATGGGGTGGGCTTTGGGTAGTTTAATTTTGCGATTATCTAAGGAATTTTATTTTGCACTTTGGTGGGCGGTTACACCGAACATCAAAGATTATCTAAAACCAAATCTGCAACTATTCATTCCTTCATTTTATTGTTCTGCATTAACTATTAATCGTAGGTTAGCTTGAATGGGGAAAGGGCTTAAGATCCTAGCTAGATTACAGAGTCGGTGCAGTTAGTTAAATCTCTGACACTTTCTATGCGTTAGCGAGCTTCCATTGTAGTTATCGACACTTGATTGATGGAAGGATTTTCAGGTCTAACAGCAGCTGGCGCTTGTAATTCCTCGCATCTGCTTTGGATAACGAATGCCGGCTTGTTGGGAGATGGAAGACTGGTTTCATTACCAAACATGAAGACTACATTTGACATGGTGGGGCGGTCTGCTGTAGATTCTTGAACGCATAAAAGACCTATATGAATGCACCTTATCACCTGATCTGCGGAGTACGGTTCGACCATTGTTGATGGGTTCACGATTTCCATGGCTCTTCCTTCTCTCCACAAGTCCCAGACCTAACAGGCGTATACAAACTAATTAAGCTTCATTTTGGATCAAGTGATTCATACCTCAAATTCATTTTTGTTGGCGAGGATAACATTCAAAGAGTTAATAAATTCCTAGGTAAACCCTAGGAGTGAATTCATTAGTGTAGGATCTAAGGACACGAGTTCCATTTTTGCATGTAAAAGGAATCACTTACATGAGCAATCAAGCTAAATGATGGACTTCCCTCGTAAGACTGGTTGCTTCTCATGCCACTAATAATCTCGAGTGTCAATACCCCAAAGCTGAATACGTCTGATTTCGTCGAGTATAGACCTTTCATTGCGTATTCTGGTGACATATACCCACTGCAAACATTTGACATACAAACCCAAGAATCATTTTATATTTCAAAGAGTCTTAAAAATAAGTAAGATAGTGAAGGACTTGTCTCACTATGTCCCGACAACTCTATTTGTATTGGCCTCGGTTTGTTCTTCTCCAAATAACCTAGCCATTCCGAAGTCCGAGATTTTGGGGTTCATCGCAGCATCAAGTAGAACATTGCTAGGTTTTAAATCTCTATGGATGATTTTTAACCTTGAATCTTGGTGTAGGTACAATATACCCCGAGCAATCCCAATAATGATATCAAATCGTCTCTTCCAATCTAGTGACGAATTTCTTGTTTTATCTGCATCAAAAGCACACAACATCTATTCACAGTGTCACTATGCTATAATTTAAAGATTAGACCGATAATTAACTTCTCAAACAGTTGAAAGAAAATTTTTATGGATTGAATTGAGTTGGGGAAAAAATTAACCGAAGATGAAAATGTCCAAACTTCTGTTTGGCAAGTACTCGTAGACCAACATCTTCTCCTCTCCATTAATGCAACAACCATATAGCCTCGCTAAATTCTTGTGTTGGAGTTTAGATACAATCCTAACTTCATTCTTGAATTCCTGGACTCCCTGTGTTGAAGTATGAGATAGTCTTTTCACAGCGACTTCTCTACCATCACGTAGCAAACCCTACAAAAACAATATTTTTTCATAATGAAATCATCACCAACGCCACAACTAATAGTACCTACCTATCTTTTCACTTAACATACTTTAGGAGAGTAGTCGGGGTACCTTGTAAACCGAACCAAATCCACCTTGTCCAAGCTTATTAGTCAAAGAGAAATTTCCCGTGGCAACAAATATGTCATTTACTTCAAATATTGGTACAGAGGAATCTTTATCTCTGTACAAGTTTTCCTTCTTGACACTGTACTCTGTTCCAGAGTTAGCAACCCAGCTGATTCCTCGTCCACTTCCTACAACACTTCCAAGATCGATTAGGTATCTGTTAGAAGTTGTACCTTTGGGTAACATTTTGTAATTTGTATTACGTATGTCATGCCGAATAGAGTTGGGTGGCCGCATATATATAGTCCCTTGTGACTATGTGTATGTTATCTTGAAACACTGTTGAATAAAATAACCTAACGCCTTTTTGCATAAATGATCCGTCATATTAGTTACTACAAATTCAAAAAAATTAGAACAATATTTCAAATGATAAGCTCACTTGAGTCTTAATTAGTTTACCTTTTCTTTTCCTTTTCAGCAAGTAAAACACAATTGAAATCCCAACAATGGTGGCTGCACCCAGAGATGCCACAACAACGATCACCTTCTTCAGCTTATGTGCTTTCATCTTTTGATTGTATTCACCTGAATTGCAATCATATGTACGTACACATTAGTCTAACATTAGCTTCCAAACAAGGTAAACTTTGTGGTTTGAATTTTGGGGTTCAATATTTATGTTAGTACCTTTAATTACGAGGACAAAAATAACGTACCTAACTCAACTGCATCTACTCGAACGTACAAGTCCTGTCCACCATCGGTAAACACTCTAGTATCCATCAAATCCCCATAAAATGTCAAGCACCCGATTCCAGTGATCAAATTAGCACTCGCATAAGCCATACAGGAACAATTCATCAAACACTCTTGTTCACACTTGTTCAAATCCAGGCCAACATTCAAGCTTCCGAATTCCATGTCGGGAACTTTAGCATTTCCCACTTTCACAAACCCGTCACCATCTCCACAGGTCGAATTTCCTCCTGTGTGCTTCCTGACGCACCCTCCCGAACCATCTCTCAGATTCCAGTCGTTCTGGGATCTGGGTTCGAATCCCGGAAGGCAGCCGCATTCGAACACCGCCGTATTATAAGGATCGCATTTCCCATTCGGACCACAATGACCATAATAGTCACACGGCTCCTTGGGGTCACTCCAAAACTCAATCCATCGTCGGTCCTCATCGTGCCATGTGGCGAGCTTCACATATCCCGATGGATCCACGTACAACCTATTAGAGTATTATTAGAGTATGAGTAGTATTGTGGAAATCAATAAGTTGTACGAGATATAAAATCATCAATGAATTTCAGTAATCCTTATATTCTAACATGGTTTCAAAACTTTCTGCTGGGTAACAAAAACCTTGATATGATGGAGGGATCTAGAAGTCCCAAAGCAATGGTGGATTCACTCCCGTCGTTGACAATACTTATGCTGAAGAAGGGAGTACGTGACATGTCAGGAACTCCACTCCAGCTGATTCCGTTCCTTGGGCCGCTCCTCCACCATTTGGTCCGACCATTGTACAGAACCAGCTGAGGCGCGCCGCCCTTCGGATCCAAGTCATAAGACCAGACCCCTGCCGCAGGATCGGCAGGGGATTTCCAGGATCGAACCGATCGGTTCAATCCTGTTCTACGATCCGACCCAAACTTCGTGTTTGGGAAGATCGTATCCGACAGATGATCCAAGCTCTGCCACAGAATCGTCGTCCTACCACCACCATCCGATCGAAGCAGCACGAAATTACCCTCGTCGAGCAGCCGAGCCATCGTGTTGTTGCCTCCTGCAGAGACATTCGCAGACCACACAGGAGCAGAGGAAGAGTTGCTGCTCCCCTGTGCCAAAATCATGTCGCCACCTTGGCCGGCGATGGAGAGCACTCCGGAGGTGTCGTTGATGGGATCGTCTCCATTGGCAACCCAGACGACAGTTTGTACGGAGACTTTGGTGTACCAGATTCCGAGGTAGCGATTGGTTGAATTCACGGGGCTGAAGAAACCAAGGGTGTACCTTTCTCCATTGGAGACCAGCACCTGACCATCTGCAAGAGTTTCGTTCAGATTCAAGGTGTCTGTGGTGGATGAAGTGCAAAGGTGAAGAGAGATTATGAGCTGGAGAAGAAGCAGCAAAATGGCTTGGATCTCCATTGTACCGCTGGCTGCAGGGTATGAAGGTGTGTTTTTATTTCTTCTTCTTCTTCTTCCACCTTCCCCTGTTTTCTTTTTCCCCCATGTGTATTATATACTTCTTCACTTTTGGAATTTCTGGATCGAGGGGAGAAACAGGTGGAGCTTTGGGGGTTTTTTTTCCTGTCTTTCTTTTGTTTATCAGTAAAATCAACTTCAACATTATAAAAATAATTATTAGTTGCTAATTATTGCACATTCAAACTTCAAAGTCCAGGGTGATAGCTGGCAGTGCATTCTTGGCGAAATCCTCCAATAATGAGTTGACAGATAGAAACTATATTTTCAGGAATTGGTCAATTTTATGTATTGTAAAATTCATAAGAAATTGGTTTGTAATGTAAGGAAAAATAAGAAGTCAATGGAGTCAATGGTTAGCAGGGTAATCAGCCTATACGTCATGGTTGTCAAAGGTGTTAGGGTTGTGCAAAGTAAACCTGCCGACATGAGAATATTGAGGATTTTCCCCACAGAATCTATGCTGCACTATCAAATTTCCATAAAAGAATTGGAATCGCTAAATGTCGCCCTTAAAATTATTAAACGTCGGCTTAACTTTAATGTCAAATTACCTATATACCCTTAATAAAAAGTTCAAAATTCAAACAACCAAACAAGCCCCAACCCCAACCCCTTCTTCCTTTCCCGCGTTCCCTTCCCCTCTGCAAATTCTACCGCTGACCGACCCTCACCTCTGCAACTTCCCTTCACCGTCGACCAACCCTACCGTCGTCGTCAGCTAGCCCGACGTCGCGATCCCTCCTGTCGCCATCTCGATCCCTCACGTCGCCATCCGCTCCCGTCGCTTTCTGCTAGCCCTCGTCGCTGCCGACCTCCCACAATCCAAACGCACAACATTATACGCATGAGAAGAAGGTAAAGAGATACTCCTTGACCACAGTCAAATCGCGGTTTATCCACCGAAAAACCGCAGTCAATGCGCGTTTGATCCGACGGTCAACCGGGGCCAGCCGTCGATTTAACCGCGGTTGCCCATCGGTCAAACCTTGGTTTGACTGCGGTTAAATTTTGTCTTTTTTCGGAAATTTTAATATTTAGTTTTTATTATAATTTTTTTGAATATATGATAAATTTTCTAATTTAATTAGTTAATTACTTATATGAAAATTAGATATTATTCTTAATAATAATTTAGTTATATTTTGTCAATAATGATAAAAAAACTTATTAAAACTTATTCGATAAATTTTAATAATGATAAAAAATAAAAAAAACTTTTTAAAACTTATTCGATAAATGTTAATAATGATAAAAAAAACATACGGAAAATTTTAAAATGTACTTTTATCATTTTAATAATCAAAATTTTAAATTAATAAGGAGTGAATGGAAGGTCGAGTGTAGACTTACGGCGACTGGTAGGAAGGAAAATGAAAAAGAAATCCACGTAAGGTTATGAGGAGGAATAAGAAGGTAGAAGTAGTGCGTCCCGACGACCACCCTACTATGGGGCAGTTGTCTCTTGGTCGAGTTACTACCAGTATTCCTACACCAGAGGACGTACCGGCTTGGCAGGCTAATTGGAGAGATTCCATTGATGAGGATGGTGATGATGATGATGATGATGACGGTGATGTTGATGTTGGGGATGCCCCACCTCAAGCAAATTTAGGCGTGGGGAAGACCGCGCGGGTCCGAATATCTTCTACTGCCTCTTCACACTTTCGTGGGCCCGATGGACGTTATGCGGCCAGACCTAGTAGCGAGGAAGACGCAGATGGAAATAGGAAGAGGAAGACCACGAGGAAAGAGATGTAGTGGTTACTTACATAGGAGTCTGAGATGTGTTCATGCGGACCAGTGATTCCCCATGTGATCCCTAGCTTTGGAGGTCACATAGGACTTGTAATGTGGACTTCCCCTGAGCAGGTGCGTGGACTGTTGGACGACTTCGATAGGTTGAAAGCTCTAGAGTATTTGAGGCGATATAAGTGGAGTGCAGAGGGTTCCTAGGAGATGGTTGCAGCCAGAGGATTGTCTCACTTGAAAGGGTGCATAATGCAATATTTAGACATGGCTCTATTGTAGGCATTTGTGGAGAGGTGGCAGCCGGACACAAATACCTTCCACATGCCGTTTGGAGAGATGTCGATCCTTCTACACGATGTGCATCACATTCTTCGTATTCCGATTGATGGAGAGCTTATTGGAGATGAGGCTTCGTTGAATATTCTTAAGTCAAACATGGGTGGCCTAGTTTGACTTTTGGTGGATGCTCATGTTGGTGGTAAGTGAAAGTCTAAGTGGTAAGATAATGGGGCTATGCATGGGGAGGGATTGTTGGTGCGTGGGGGAGAGCTGAAGATTAAGGAGATGGAGGTGCACTGTTACCTATTTGTGTTAGTGGGATCCACAGTTTTTGTGGATTAGAGTCGCGATCGCCTTCATCTTGCGATCAACTTGTTTCTGAAGGACCATTGACGATTGGCCGATTACACTTGGGGAGCTGGTGCACTCGCCTATCTCTACAGACAGTTGGGAGTGGCCATACGAGCGGGTAGTAAGGGTGTTTGTGGGTGTTTGATCCTGCTTTAGGCTTGGATATATGAGTAATTTCCTCTATTTCGTCCGAGCCAACTGTCGCAGTCTCCGGATGCAACCCGTGCTTCCTCATGGATTTCTACCTGTTTGTCAGGTGGGGATGATGCTAGACAGTGATTAGTATGTCATCGACAGTTATTGGATGAGCTTTCAGCAGAGGATGTGACATGGACTCCATACGAACGAGATGGCTACACAGAGATACCACACTCCTTGTTCACTAGGGTCCGTCTCTTTTCAGATATTGTTGAGGGATACGATCGTGCAAGTTGTCTCTGCCAGTTTGGATACCGACATATTATCCCCCGTGCTAAGATGGTACCACATGACCAGTATTGTCCGCCTTCTGGCAGCAGTTACACAGTCTTTTGGGATCCGCAAATCAGTTGTGGGATAACTTGGCAGCCCATCGTCTGGATTTGGATTTTGATTCTGACTTGTGCGAGCACCCATCGGTGATCGAGGAGGATTACATTCACTGGTATCAGACTAGATCGCACCCACGAATCACCCACCCCAGCTCTGATGGGGTGCCTCAGCAGCGGCCACTACTAGTTCATTAGGTTAGTTATGACTTTCTTGTGTTTTTTCATATATAAAGGACATTTTTTATTACATCCTAACATTATTTTCTATTTAGAATTGAGAGAGCATATTGTGGATTGTTTAGGTCCCGTGTTGCAGACGAGGGACCGGAGTTTGTTTGTGGAAGACGGTGGTAAATTCTACGATATGATAGTTATGGTTCACGATTTGTACGACCAGTTGGTAGGCCCACCGCCTCAGTAGACCGTTATCACTTTCGTTTGTGCTTTCTTTGTCATCGTTTGTAGTTGAACTGAGTTATTTGTCATCATTTGTAGTTGAATCTGAGATGATTGTGTTTTTATTTGTCATCTTTTGTAGTTGAACTGAGACGATTATGTTTTTATTTGTCATCGTTTGTAGTTGAACTAAGACAATTGTGTTTTGTTTCAGAAGATGGTCTCCATGTTTACTTTCGTTACATTCAATACATTGCGTAAATAGTTAATCAACGTGGTAGCTTACTAAATATTTCAATAATATTAAGAGTTATACAATTAGTAAATATACTTCCAATCGTCATCCCGTGGGTTCAAACTATCATAAAGTGCACGCTCATGTACGAAGAATTGATCCCACCTATTGACACTAGGATCATGAAAAATAGGCCAAAGTCTATTCAACGGAGGCATGGGCACTTGACCATGTCAAAATTCAAGTCGCACCCAATGATTCCCCGCAAATTATAGTGATAAGATCACCCGTGGTCTTGTTACTCCTGGTGAGGCCGTCACAGGTAGCACGGTATAACGACCGCCTTGACTGTATACAACGATAGCCCATGAATGTAAGGTGGCGAAGACGAAGAGTTCCGCATTATCCATCCAGTTGGGACGCCCAAAATCACTTGTTGATGCCCACCTGCAATGTCGATGGCCATTTTCTATTCCACCAGATATTCCATCATAGTAGTCTCTATAAAGCTCAAGACGGGCTTCAAGATCCTCTACAACATCACGTCTCATCTGTGGTCAATTCCCTTGGTCCCCGTTAACTTCTTGTGATAAAGCTCGAAATCCATAGTGTCCATATGGAATAGGGTTGTGCCAACCACGATTGTTCATGGAATTTTACGTGCAACGACTAGTTCAAAAAATAGATTAGTTGTACATCATATTGAGGACAATTGAACATAATTTATACAAAAAGTAAAACTACATGTGTCTTGGTCATTGTCCGGTGTTGCAGTAGGAAATCTTGAAGTTCTCCTTCCTCGTCTCCTCTCCACATGCTCGAAATGAGATAGGTTTCGAGTAGTGGAAGCCCATGAATATCAAGAACCTCTTGTACTAGACCTTTTAAGACACCACGGTGGTAATCACTATGGTCATCCCACTCTGGTCGGGTAGGAAGTTCAAGATAGTTGATAACAATCCAGAAAGGCAACACCTCATACAAGGCAAAATTCCAATTTTCACGTCATGCTATCTGAATGGAACATCTACATGGGAGACCATAGGTAGGACGAAACGTACATGTACAAGGTTCCCCTTACGTTGCTACCTCGAAGAACATTAACCTCAGAGCTTTTAGAGTGACTTTTGTATTCAACTCTCGAAATGGTTTCCATCCGCTTGGACCAGCTTCTTTTGTCGAGAATCCACTAGAAGCTTCCTGATTTGAAGGTGTTGAGCCTCAATGTAATCATCATTCTTCTTGAATACCTACAGACAATGAAGAACAATTATGAGACTACTAAAACTTCTTAAAGAGGCATCAATGAAGATTTATTTGGAGACTAACTGTGTCGATTAAACCAGTAGATGATTGAAGACACTTCTTGAAGGAGGAATGAGAAGGATCAACCTATTTGAGTTTGTGTTACCCAAAAACTGCACTTGATTGGTATAACATTTAGCCCACATATGCCTAACTGGTAACCACTCAGCTGCCAAATCCCCAAAGTCGTCGGTACTGTACTCCCTAACTACATCTGAAATTGTCTAAGGATGTATCCATGTCTTCCACTGTCAATGCATATACAGCACGTTGCTAAAACGCCATGATATGATCCACTGTCAGAAGCCAATGTTACGACTCCTCCGTCTCGTCGTACACTATTGCAGTGCAATGACAAAGTTCAATCCCACTAGTGTCATGCCGACAATCTCAACCGAAGGCATATCATACTTATTGGTTTTGTATGTTGCATCTATCACGATCACATGGTGCGAAGCTCACAACATCACTACTGACTCAGGGTGGGCTCGGAATAAGTGTGTAAGCACGTTTTGATCGTCCATATACTTCACATAGTAACCCTTCTCGTGAGGCACACGGAAAGTATATTGTAAGGCTGTCATCTGACCAAGCTCTTCTTTCCTTATCTTTTGCAACTCGTTATAAATATGTTTTCTGTTGTATGTTCCATGTGCACCTTTTCTCTCATTCACTACCTTATGGATATTCCTTTGTGGGGCTTTGTCCGATCTAAGTTGTCTGATGTATTGTTTATCATTTGCAGTCAAAACATTCCTTCCCTTTGATCCCTCCGGAAATAGCTCCAACTGATGATTGTGGAAACCCAAATTAGCACCAGGATTCTTTGTATTTGCCACCGCTAGGATCAACCAATATCCATCAACGGGCCGCTCAAGCTTGATATGAAGCTTGCACCCCAACTTTTCAGTAGCAGTAAGATACCTCCTTTCCTTAGTCGGATCATGTTCCTTCGACTTTCTCTTCGAATCATGGTAAGATACCTCCTTACCATGAGTGTAATGTGAGTAATGTCGCCAACTACCTTCACTTTTTTTTGTTCGTTGCCTCACCAAATAAACCCCAAGACCTTGGCAATCTCAGTAGCTACTTCATATGCTTCCAAATCCGTAGTGTATTTCATGCCATCAACGAAATCCGAGGTGTAATCATGGCCATCCGGATTGTAACTACCAATATCGTGCAATATTATTAGAATTTATAAGTGATACTCTACAAATTTAAAAAAGAACTTAACATTCTCTGTATTGTCAATTTAACGAGTACTCTACGATAAATTTAAAACTTCATAACTACATTTCATTTAACAATCATCATAACTTCACATGCGAAATCTATTATTTATGCAATAAATCTAATCTTAATTTGTAATGAAAAAACTAATCTTAATTTTCTAGATTAAGACCAAATCTAATCTTAATTTAAGGCCAAATCTAATCTTAATTTCTAATGCTTAATCCTTCAATTCCAAAATTAATTATGCAAATAAATCTAGAAAATTATATAAACCAAAATCCAATAAATTATCTCATGGAACAAACCATAAATCATATAAAAAATAGAAAAATATTAATTTGAACCAATATTTCCAAAAATGCTCAACCGCAGCTCAGATGCGGTTCGACCATGGTCCAACTGCAGGTCACTTGTGGTTGGACCATGGTTGATCCGCAAGTGACCTGCGGTTGGTCCATGGTGTAACCGCAAGTCACTTGTGATTGCACCATGGCCCAACCGCAGGTCACTTGCGGTTCAACCATGGTCCAACCGCATATGAGCCACAGTTCTCTTTTTTGGGTTTTTTTAGTGAACTTTTTTTACCACATTGGAGTCGCTACTCATGATTCAGACGTCCTACCGACGATATCGGCTTCAGAATGACGATGATATGTTTTTATCTCCTTGGATAGTGTTTTTTTAGTCTAAGTGATGTTTGTTTGCTAAAGGGAAGGTAAAGAAGCTAAAGGGTTAAAAGTGTAATTTTGATATTTAGGGCGACCTTTAGTAATTTTTAGGCGACCTTTAGAAACTCCCAAAATACTTGCCGGAGAAAGGATTGGGGTGGGTCGCGGGTTGGGAATAAGGAGTCTCATATGGGATGGGTTTTGTATGGGTCATGGGTTGAAAAATGGGTTGGGTGGTGATCTTAATGAAGTGGCAGGTTGTGATGATGTGGCGGGTCGGGTTCAATGTTTTTTTGGTGAAATCCGACTGGTTAGTCAATTTCTTTTGCCACGTCAACACTTAACGAACTCCATTAACGGAGTTGGACGGAGACAAACAGAGAGTGACCAAACATGAGTCATGACATGTTTTACTAAACCTAGTGACCATTATTGATATTAAATTTTTCAGTGACTAAACATGACACGTTTAAGTTATCTCAGTGACCAAATGTGGCAACTAGTGGACTACAAATTTTTCTATAGAAGTATTTTCATAATGTATGTGGAAATGTGAAAATTAAATATAAGATCACTCTCAAACCCCCTTAATTCCAAAAACATGTCTTCTTTTGGAAATTTCATCCTAGGATCTTGAAAATTTATGCGGAATAATAGAATATCGCTATGATCGGACAACCGAGCGCAAAATTATGATTGTTTGAAGTTCTGAACCTAGATTAGGAGTAGATAGTGGACTGACCATTGATCAG